TCCAAGAAGAATGAAGTCCTTGACAACTTCAATCTTTTCTCCATTGATAAGAATGTTGTTTATTGGTCCAGTGGTGAGGATTTTTGTTTTCTTGACATTTACATGTAATCCATATTGAAGGCTGTGCTCTTTAATCTTCATAAGTAAATGTTTCAAGTCCTCTTCACTCTCAGCTTTAAATATGGTGAAATATGGTGAAGCAGATATTATCATTCCAGAACTACTTTTTGCACTTTTTATTTCCAAAAAAGAAAAGGAACTTTTACTTCATAGTTATGAGACTTGAGTAAGTCACTTAATGCTCTAAACATATCCTAAGTTGAAAATGGTATAATAACTATGCATTTTTTTGTGTGTTGTAAAGAATGGGTTGGAGATTTCATATAAAACGTTTGAAACAGTGCCAAATGTGTTTGGCAAATGTGAATTTTTCTTCTTGGTTTTATTGATGTTGTAATGGGTTCTACTACTATCAACAGTAATATTTGATCCTTTGAAATCCATATTATACTCATAATCAACTAAAGATAGTGCACTTTATGGGAATAAGCAATGTATTAGTGAGGTTCTCGAAATAAAATGTCTTTCTTTTTTCCTGTGTCCTTGTTTTAAATAGGTCCCAATGGGAAATTTCAAAGGTCATGCACTCCCTGGAAGCTTTTTCTGCTTCATGAGTCTGTGGTGGAGTACAAAATTCACTCTGAAGTATGCCTGCAAAAAGTACAAGCGAACTTGCTACCTTGGTTCCAAAGCATTATTCCATCGAATAGAAATTCTTGAGGGAATCATCATAATTGGCATGGCTTTAATTGGTGAGTGGAATATTTCTGTATTATGTTTTCTACTTTTGAGTTTTTCACATGCAAAAAAAAAAAAAAATCAATATAAAATCAACAAATTGCTAAAATGAATTTTTAATTTAAATATTTCTTATTGTTTATAATTTCTGTTTACATTGTCTGTTATGAAAGTGATGCTTCGTATTTATAAAAATGCCTATTCTACGATGAGTTAATTATTCATAGAAATTTACTTACCCACCTAGTCAAGGTAAATTTTACTACGGTATTATTTGGATTCTCTGAAAAAAATTTATTTCAATTATTTTGATGCTTGCAAGAGTAAATCAGTTTTTTTAAAAAAATTTGCATAATTTAAATTTTGTTGACTATAGGGAATATAGTGTTGAATATAGGAAGAATGGAATACTTATTGCTCCAATATAAATAAAAGATGTGAATCTTATTATATACTCAGGACTACAGAAAATTCTAAAGTTATATATGAATGCAAGCCTGATTATTGTTAATTAATAAGGCGAATGTTACTTTCTGAGTATGTGATCCAGTTAAAGTCATACATCATAAACATGGTCTGAAAGTTTTTTATTTGTATACATATTTCCTTGTGTGTGTTACTTAGAACATTCAAACAGTGTTTAACAACATAATTAGCTGACCTGAAAATAAATTACAGTAGCTGAACTTGAATAATTATAGCAGCAATATTAAACAAGTGGGACCACAATGAAGCTGTGATCCTGAAAGATCCTCATGTTGCTACATAAAACCCTCTGTGAACCATTACTGAATGCAGAATAACACTGAAAAAGGTCCAGATAGCTATATTACTGGAAAAAGTTGCTCTAATTCTGTAGTTTTAAAATGAAGTAGCAGAGAATTACATATAGGAAAAGTACTTGTACATATCTTGGTGATGGGTTCATCTCATGATGTTTGATTCCATTTTGATTAGTTTGTTAATAGCACAATCCCTGCTGTCAGTATGATTTGTATTTATTATAGCTGTTTCCTTTAAAATAAAGGATGCCATTGCATATAAACATTGTCATGAATCTGTGTTTTCAGAAATTGCATTTTGTATATGGCTATAGTCATTGCAGCATTGTAAAGTGGTTATTTTATTACCAACAGTGCAAAATTATATTGTTTAATGTATCAATTAGTGTGTTTTGTTGTTTCATTTTAAGAAAGAATCTACAGTTGTTTTTATTTTGCATATGTTTTTAAGTTGTGTGTACTTTCAAGGAGAAATAGCAAAGTAGGCAATACAGTGTGTTTGAAGCATGCCTTGAAAGAAGAACAAATAGAACCCTGGATAGAGTTGGAAATGAGTGTATGCTGTATAGAAATTGGGAGGACATCAGATTGACCATTGGCCAAGAGTCATGGAAGGAAAGCATCCAAACAAAGTCAATAGGCATTCTCCGTCTTAGGCTGAATTGAGGCAGTGCTGAGAAAATTGCCAAAGAGTGGGAAGCAAGAAGGTAGAGAGCTGTTACTAGGGCAGTTCAGCCAGCTCAGCTAGATAGTGTTTTTGTCACCTGGAGCTGCTTTTAACAGCTTCATGCTCTGTGGCATCTTAAAGATACTATCTGACCTTAGAAAGGTTTGCTGTGTTCCTGTTTCATACTAAGCTTAAAGAGATTTCAATCTCAGAAGAGGGAAGAACTGGTTATAGGGTTTATTAGGGAAGTGAACAGGGTACAATTCAGGATCAAAACCAACACAGAACGCAGCAGTTCTCCAGTCAGGAAAGCCTCTTGTCTGCCATACTGCAGGCAAGCCTCACTCTTCTTCTTTGGCCTCTCAGCTGTGGTCCCTTGACCTCTGCCCTGCTCTGGTAAGTGTTACAAAGTTATTAGCCAGTCTGTGAATGCCCAAAGGACAACATTTTTCAAGCCAGTCTCCTGCCCATAGGCACTCAGCTTTACTCAGTCCATGGGTCTAGAGCCAGAAGCTGCTCTGTCTTTTCATGCCACGACCTCTGCTGTTGCCTTTGCTGTCACTTCTACTGTTGCTGTTTCTCTAGGTAGGGATCTCATATGTCATTAATGTTCTTCCTTCTTGATGGTCTTTGGATCTTTCCAGAAATCAGTTTTTAAAAAAGGATGTTAAAACACTGAAGCCATTATGGGAACTCATCAACAATAAATCATTCCTGGTGTACTGTAGAGAGTGGTCAAGACTGAAGAACCCTATATTCTTATATTCATCCTTATCTCTTGGTTACTAAAGGGTAAAGGGAAGTCAGGTCAGACAACTGATAAGAAACTTCATGTTGCTATTGTTATTAGGTGCTTTCCAGTTGGTTCCAATTCACTGCAACCCTATCTATCACAACAGGTGAAAGAAACACTGTCCAGTTCTGTGCCATCTTTACAATTGTTGTTACCTTTGAGCCTATTGTTGCTGCCACTGTGCCAATACATCTTGGGGATCTTCCTCTTTTTCACTAGCCCTTCACTTTACCAAGCATCATGTCCTCCAGGGATTGATCCCTCCTTAAAACATGTCCGAGGTATGAGAGACGATGTTTCAATATCCTTGCTTCCAAGGAGCATTCTGGTTGTATGTCTTTCAGTACAGATTTGTTTGTTTTTCTGGCTGTCCATGGTATTTTCAATATTCTTCTCCAACATCACAACCCAAATGCAACCATTTTTCATTGGCCTTCTTTATTCTTTGTCCAATTTTCACATGTACTTCAAGCAATTGAAAATACCACGGCTTGGGTCAGGCACAGTTTAGTCTTCAAACTGACATCTTCACTCTTTAACATTTTAAAAAGGTCTTTTGGAGCAGATTTGCCCCATACAGCACGTTGTTTGATTTCTTGACTGCTGCTTCCATGATCATTGATTGTGGATCCAAGCACAATGCGGTCTTTGACAACTTCAATCTTTTTCCATTTATCGTGATGCTATTTATTCACCCAGTGGTGAGGATTTTTGTTTTCTCTATATTGAAGTGCCACCCATACTGAAGGCTATGGTCTTTGAGCCTCATAAATAAATATTTTAAGTCCTCTTTGACTTCAGCAAGCAAGTTTGTATCATCTGTATATGGTAGGTTGTTAATGAGTCTTCCTCCAATTCTGATGTCATGTTCTTTTTTATATAATTCATCTTCTCAGAATATTTGCTCATCATTCATATTAAATAAATATGGTGAAAGAATACAGACTTGGTACATACTTTTCCTGATTTTAAACTATTTAATATCCCTTTGTTCTATTCTATTCCAACAACTGCCTCTTGATCTATGCACAGGTTCCTCATGAACACAATCAAATGTTCTGGAATACTTATTCTTCTCAATGTTATTCAGACCCTGTCATGATCCACACAGTCAAAACTCTTTGCATAGTCAATAAACTACAAGTAAACACCTTTCTGGTATTCTTTGCTTTTAGCCAAGATCCATCTGATGTCTGCAATGATATCCTTCATTGCATGTCCTTTTCTGAATCCGGCCTGAACCTCTGACAGTTCCCTGTCAGTGTACTGTTTCAGCCATTTTTGAATTATCTTTAGCAAACTTTTACTTGCATGTGATATTAATAATATTATCTCATCATTTTCAAATTCCACTGGGTCACCTCTCTTTGGAATTGGTGTGTAAATATGAATCGCTTCCAGTTAGTTGACCAGGTAGCTGTCGTCCAAATTTCTTGGCATAAATGACTAAGTGTCTTCAGTGTTGCATCAGTTTGTTGAAAGATTTCAATGGATATTCCATCATCTCCTGGAGTCTTGTTCTTTGCCAATGCCTTCAGTGTACCATGGACCTCTTCTTTCAGTATCATTGGCTCTTGATCATATGCTATCTCTTTCAATGGTTGAACATCTACCATTTCTTTATGGTACAGTGGCTATGTGTATTCCTCTAATCTTCTTTTGATGCCTTCTGCATCATTCAGTATTTTGCACATAGAATCCTTCTGTATTTGAAGTTGAGGCTTGAATTATTTTTTCAGTTCTTTCAGCTTGAGAAAAGGTAAGGATGTTTTTCCCTTTTGGTTTTCTAACTCCAGGTTTTTCCCCATTTCATTGTAATATTTGACTTTATCTTCTTGAGCTGCCCTTTGACACTTTCTGTTTAGTCCTTTGTCTTCCTTTTTTCTTCCATTTGCTTTAGCATCTCTATGCTGGAGAGCAAATTTCAGAGTCTCATTTGACATCCATTTTGACTATGTCTTTATTTCCTATCTTTGAATGGCTTTTTGCTTTCTTCTTGTATGATGTTCTTAATGTTGTTACACAACTCTTCTGGTCTTTGGTCATTAGTGTTTAATGCATCAAAGATGTTCTTAAGATGGCCTCTAACTTTAGGTAGATTATGTTCAAGGTATATTTTGATTATCATGGACTTGTTTTGATTTTCTTCAGCTTCAGTCTGAACTTGTCTATGAGCAATTGATGGTCTGTTTCACAGTCTGCCCCAGCCTTGTTTTGGCTGATGATATTGAGCTTTTCCATTTTCTCTTCCAGATGTAATAAATTTGATTCCTGTCTGTTCCATTTGGTGAGGTCCATGTGTGTAATTGCCTTTTATGTTGTTTTAAAAAGATATTTTCAATGAAGAAGTCATTGGTCTTGCTAAATTCTGCCACGTGAGCTCCAGCATCGCTTCTATCAACTAGGCCATATTTTCTAACTACTAATCCTGCCTCTTTGTGTCCAGTTTTTGCATTCCAATAACTGGTAATTATCAATACATCTTAATTGCATGATTGATACATTTTAGACTAAATAAGTTGGTAGAATTATTCAACTTCATCATCACTGTCTTTAGTGGTTGGTGCATAAATCTGAATAAAAGTGGTATTAACTACTCTACCTTATTTTTATTAAGTGCTATGGAGTCAGTTCTGACTCATAGTAATCCACTATAGGGTTTCTATAGAGTTTTTTTTTTTCCTTCTTTTTTTTGGTTGAATCTCTAACCTTGTGTTAGCAGTCCAGTGCTTATCCTACAGTGTTACACCAGGACTCTGCATCTGAATATTATCTTGTCACAGTACACAGTAGTGTACTTCAAGACAGATCTTGAAATGTTCTTTTTGATATTGAATGTGATGCCATTCCTCTTCAATTTGTTGTTCCCAGCATTGTAAACACTGATTTTCTGATTCATAATGGCCACTACCAGTCCATTTCAGCTCACTAATGTCTATGATAGCTTTCTTTATACATTCCATTTCATTTTTGGCAACTTCAACTTTTCCTAGATTCATATTCATATATTCAATGTTCCAGTTATTAAGGGATGTTTGGAGCTGTTTCTCCTCATTTTGAATTGTGCCTTATCAGCAAATGAAGGTCCCCAAAACTTTCCTCCACTCCTGTCATCAGAATCAACTGTACTTTGAGGGGCAGCTTTCTTCAGTCATATTTTTAGTGCCTTCCAACCTGAGAGGCTCATCTTCCTGCACTATGTCTCACAATATTCTGGTGTGATTTATGTTTTCATCTTTGAACTGACAGACAAGTGGTGGCAGTAGATGAAGATACTTCATATACCATGGGAAAGTTATAAAAGTTCTGTGTTTTCAAGTTCAACTATAGCCTCTCCTTTATGAAAAGTGTAACTTCCCATTTGCCCATTGGATATCTTCATTGTTATTGATGGCAGTTTTTCTAATGTCCTTCATGTTATCCCAATGGCCATTTCCAATGAGAGGAGATTTTTTTTTTGGCAAATTCTACAGATTGACAAATAAAACAATATCTCTAAAAAGTTTATCTTTTTGCATAACTGATGACCATCTGAATGTTTTTAGGTAAAATTACTGGGGAAAAGTTCATCACTTAAGCAATTTTTTCTTGAACCAAGCCCAACCCCTATTTCCTGGTGGTTATCCAAAGATGTAACATCTAAGGAGTAAATAATGAGCCTCTATAGGGCTGATTGTAGCCGTTTCTGTATTACCTTTAGCAAAACTTTACTCACATGAGATATCAAAGAGATTGTCTGATGATTTCCACATTCCGTTGGGTCACCTTTCTTTCGAATGGACAAAAATATGGATCTCTTCCAATCAGTCGGCCAGATAGTTGTCTTCCAAATTTCTTGGCAGAGATGAGTGAGTGCCTCCTGTGC